AGACTCGACAATCTCGCCTGAAAGGCACATGGTTCTGCCGCACATGTTGACGCCAGTCGTCCAGGCTCATCTTTTTCACTTGAGCTTCCTGGTCTATTTTTTCCAAGAATCCTCGAAGAGCCAACTTGATGACTTGAACTAGGCCCGGGGACCATTCGGCCCAGGTGGCAGTCTGACGAAGACGGTCAGGAAGATCCGGTTGTAGAGATTCATGTCCCCCTCCAGATAGACCGTCCAGCTCGTTGAGAGCATGAAGAGATGTCATCAGTGTCGTTGGCTTTCGGCGTGAGTGGCCTGTTCGGCCCTGATCAAACTTCACCACGTTCAATTGGTGTCGACGGGCAAACTCCCGAATCTCTTCCCATTCCCATACTGACGGCATCATCGAGGCATCATCGCCAAGATAATCCTGAGGGTCAGCAGGGTGCTCCATCAGAAAAGCACGTTCTTCATGCGGTTGGGCCACCTCCACTGCTCGGTCAAACAAGCCAAGCATCTTGAGTATCAGCGCGCTGTCATCCGTGACAGTCTGAAGTTCCCATTGGTTCAGATCTGGCAGTGACCAGCGTTGTGGACCTCTAGCACGTAGTGGTCGAGGTCCTGGTCGTTGATGACGAAGACGAGAAAAACTTCTGCAAGGAGGTCCACCCAAAATGGCAAGCAACTTGTTGCGGGATGCCAGGTCCCACAAATAGGACCAGATCGTGGCATTGTGAAGGTTCTCCGCGGCATTGGTGGAAATGTCGAGCGTGATGACTTCGTAGCCATTCTTCCGCAACTCCTCCCATCTTTTGGACATCACCGCACCACCTGAAAACAGATGTAGGATCACCCCCTTTGAGGCCTCGATCTGTCGACGTCTCCTTCTATTCCATGGTAAGGTTGGACCACTGCATTCTGACCAGTGTCTCCCTTGACCCTTCATTCTCTGGAGAACTTCATCAGGGATCTGCGGAAAGTACTTCCGCCACCATTCTTCCACATCTTTTTCTACCCCCAACCCATTTTCAGTCTCGGCCTTCTCCAGCTCCTCAAGAAGCAGTAGAGCTTCATCTTCTCTCATGACTGGGCATCCTTGACGACGCCAGCACTGAAGGTTTCCCTTGACAGGGTGAGCGATCACACACTCATTTGACGACCACTTCACCTGGTAGCCGTTCTCGACCAAGAGGCGCATGGGTAAGATCACCTCGATGGGTTCCTTGGAGAGCAGGGTGCGGCATCCATCATGACGATACAGCGTGGTTCGGCCATGTGCAAGTTCTACAGATACTGGCTGAGCGTCACGTAGCTCCGCTGCTGAACCTTGACGTAGAGCATGTGTTGCCCCTCCATCAAGGAGGGCAACCTTGCAGTCCAGTGGGGGCTCGTTCGAACCACCAGCATCCAAGAATCGAAGCTGCACAGCCTTCAGGCTCTGAAGCGACTTCATCAGGCTCGTCACATCGATGACCGGAGTTGATGGGACCACTGGGATCTCCTCCACACCCTTGGACACCGGCTTCTCCTCCGTGGATCCGGTAGAGGATGAGGATGTTGGCTGCACAACCTGGGCATCCTTTCCTGAGGTCTGTTTCTTTCCTCCAGGGGTAGCCTTCGTTGTGCCAGCGTTGACCTTTGAGATCTTTCCCTTCTGATCACCATCCCTTTCTTGAGGTTTGTAGGGGCAATTGGGTTTCATGTGACCCTCCCCCGAACAAAAGTAACATCTTCCACTACGTTGGATTCCTTCCCATGAGTGTTGATATGCACATTTATCTCCCCTTTTACAACCAACTGAGCTACCCCAAAACTTACATTTTGGTTTTTCGCCAGCAGCACCTGTGGTAGCGGAGCTATCCCCACCAGTCCTGAGCGATGCAGTCTTGGGAACCTCCTTCTTCTTCACGTCAGAGCTTGAAGACGTTGATGACAAGGTCGTTGAAGGCCGGGACAAAGCAACCTGCTCAATCTCGGCTTGAAGGGCCTCCGCAAAGTACATCACCTGGTCAGCATCCGGACGGTTGTCCAACTTGAGGTCTTGACGTAGCGTGGCCACTCGAAACGCAGTTTGAGCCCCACCGAGTCGACTGATGTGCTCTGCCCACTTGGTCAGCACGCCCACAATCACCAAAGTATCAGGCAAGGTGACCTTGAGCTCGTTCGCCCTGTTGACATTTCTTCTCCACATCCTCAAGGTGTTGAGAACCTCCTGCACTGACGGGTTGTTTCCAAGACGATCCTCAGTGATGTCCTTCAAGAGCACGGTCCGCTCCTGTGGACCTCCAGGCTGGTACGTGATCAGCAGCTTGTAGATGATCTCGACCGTTGACAATCGCCGAGAAGCAATGAGATCACGTCGAACTCCTTCGGGAAGACAAGCTAGAAGCATGGTCACAGCTCGCTGTTCAGTGCGTGGCCACTTGGATGCTTCGGCAGGCACCGGTGGACGTAACCTCAGTCGGTCCAAAGGTCCTGACAAGATCCATTGGCGGTACCCATCCTGAGCAGCACCTACAATCAACTGCCACCAAACTCCTGAAGTGGAGCTAAGGTCAGACATGATTGGGTCGATTACAGCCAACCAATCCCCTAGAGACAACGCTGTTGTGTTTTCACTCAAGCGAGGCAGTTCCAAAACCCTCAGGCTTTCTGCAAACGACTCCCCAACTTGAGCCGCAGCGGTCCCCGGAGGGTGCTGAGCTCCATCAACCCTCAACCCTGACGACAAGCTTCCTGCACCAACTGGCATTCCCATGTCACCATGGATCGCAGGTGGATTGAATGGCGTGTGTCCAAACCCCAAAACGTTCTTCACGCTAGCCGTTGGGGGATTTCCCAAAACTGAGGTGGTTTGAGGTAACCCTGGTGGAGTAGAGATATTGGGCTGTTGCATCCCCTCATCATTCCTACTCCCCCCTTGAGGTGTCCCATACGAACCACTACCCCCAGCCGCCGCCTTACGCCTAGCTATTTCTTGTTGGATTTGGTTTTCAACATTTTTCAACGCCTGGGCCTGCAGGGCTTCCAGTTCCAAGAGATCTCGATGAGTCAACCCACCCGGCAACACCACAGAAGCTCGTGCTCCTTCACCAGGACCAGCTCCATGTTGATGTGGTAACCCTCCAGCACGTTGAGCTGCTTCAGAGGGTCGAGCTGTTTCAGACGGTTGAGCTGGCTGACCAGCCCCATTTTGACCAGTTTGAACCCCACCTTCAACCTCACGCCTTACCTTTTCACTCCAAAACACATTGGTTTCTGGTGGACGTGGTGGTGTGATCAAACCCTCCGGTCCTTCTACTCGTTGTGCACCAGGATCTTGTAGAGCAAGTTCAGAACGTTGACGATGTCCCCCGGGTGGTTGAAGAGCGACTGGTTGACCTTGAGGTGGTAGATCAAGAGGTCGTAGAACAAGATCTGCAGGAGGTAGAGCTAAAGGGCCCAACAGGCTTCCACCATATCCTCCGGTTCTTTGATCGTCTCGTTCACCACCTCCCTCACCTTGTACCCCAGGCCGACAATCAAGTTGACCCCCACCAGGTGCTCGAGCAGTTCCGGCTCCATCTTGATGTCCCGCTAGTACAGATACATCACCAAGTTGCAGCGGCGGCGGCAAGAACTCAGGTCGCCTCACCCCATCCGCTATTTGTAGGGCTTGTCCAGCGCGTAGAGCCTCAGCAGCCCTCGCTAGAACGCCTTGTTGCTCAGGCGACAGGCCCTCCATCAACCTTCGATTCCCCTCATCCATCGCCACAGTACCCTCTGCTGGCACTACAGCTCCGGTCTCTTGGGTTTCATCTCCAGTTGGTTGACCTTCGCCTCGAGCAGGTGGAGCATCAGCCCTCGCAGAGATCCTCACCGACCTCACAGCTGGTTCTCCTCTTCCTTCCTCCTGGATCAACCGATCCAACCTTTCATCCGATGTTTCGTTCTCCGTAGCTAGGAACTCATCAGCGTCCCTTGCCCTCGAAGATGACCGTCGACGACGCTCCATTGCAGAGCTCAGTTTGGGCTCATAACCTACGGGAGGCTACAAACCAGGTGGATATGGGTTCCAACAACTAAAGTTGCGTCCCAATGTTATGGGCTCCAACAACTAAAGTCGCGTCCCAATGACACCTCGTTGTTTTCCTTGGCAATCTCAGTTTGAGTCGCCTTGAGCCAACGCATTGGCCAGGCAAAGCTTTGCAAAACCTGAGTGCGACAGGGTCACAAATTTGTAATGTAACCGCACATATTATACACAATATGATATAATACGATATAATATGATATAATATGTACGTATAGATTATGGCTGGTGGTCAAAATGCTGTCTCATGTAAGCTGTGCTACTTCGTGGGTGCAACAAGAAAGGGATTCTGATCGTTCAACATGGATTAAACATGATACAACATGATACGCCCATCGGTCCTATGCCTTGAATGTTGACCCAATGCATCCCGGCTTCTTCTTTAGGGTGGACATGGAATTACTGAAGGTGCATCAATTCAACAATCATGAAAGATGATGAAAAAAAAGCAAAATAACATGCAAATATGGATGTCCATCACCCATGCTTTAGGATCCAATGGAAGCTATCTGGAATCGGAAGGGTGCTCTGGAGATGGACTGAATCAAACATGGCAATCTTCGAGCTGATTTTTGGGATTCCAAGTTTGAGTCCCATAAAGAATGAATGGATGAAGGCCCATTGAAGCGAAGTCCAGTTTGATCAGATCTGGGTAGTTGCCCTTAGTCACAACCGGATGTGTTGTATCCATACTTAGATTCTCCGAAAACCAACCTTCCGCTGGTGAATATCTGCATTTCTATTACACCATTAATGCTCTTTGTAAAACCGATCTAGACGTTTTTGAACCACCAATGAATTGCATCATAAATTGCAACGAAAACATCATTTAGGGATGCTAGATGAACATGTTGTGAAAGGATGGCATGTCAAAGGATTCTTTTTAGCTTTCATCCCTGACCCAAATGATCCCCCTCCATATCCTCCAAGAGCTCCCATACCACTACTGTCAGATCTTGCACGCTGGGGCCACGTTCGGAAGGGCCGCGTTCGGAACGGCCGCGGGAAGTTTGGGTGGTCCCTCCACAGCGTTGAGACCTGCAGACGCAAGAATCTCTGTGGATGATTGGACATTTGGCAGTGTGTCAAAACCTTGTACCCCTGTAGTTCACAGCAAAATAGCTGGGATTTATGGATGTTCATCCCACTAAAAATGGTACTTATAGGTATTGATCCATACCCATTTGAGGTTTAACAGTTTAACATTTGATGGTGGGATAATTTGAGGTTGTCATTTCAGGGGTAAAGAACCCCATTGGATATGGCTTTGAGTGGAACAAGATTGGATACTGGCTTTGGGGATTGTAACTACAAACTTGGAAAACATGAGGTGATTGGACGTATCCAATGGGTCTACTTATTTTGCTTGGGGCTCAAAAACGCTCAAAACATAATCTTTGCGGTGATTCGATGTAGTGCAGTAAGACGCAGCACACATTTGGATGGTTGAGCAGGGGTTCCCATGAAAATAGAACACACTACTTTAATTTGAGATGTTGTTCGATCTTTTTATGGTTTAAAAACACCAGCATGACCCGGTCACAAAACGCAAGACTTTGCATGCCAACAAGCCTCAAGCCTTAGTCTACCACGTCTATACCACGACCATACATAAATATAATACATACATAACTTAAATACTATAATATAGAAATATAGAAATCAAGCTTCCTATAGTCTCTTCCAACAACAAGCATCGTCCAAACATCCCCTTGCAGTGCTCAGATTTGTTCCGGCCCTAATCTAGCCTTGGCATTAAAAAAAGGTATCCAGGAGCCACAAAACTGGCAAGCCTTCGATGAAAAGGAACCAACATCAGCCAAATCTGAGGGGCACCTCATCTCTCACGATCATATCAATATGGGAAAAACCCATTTCATAAACCATACCCCAAATCATCATTTTCACGGGTGGTATATTTGTAGGTTTATGGCATGGGGTTTACCACATGAATATTAGGGGTGTCTCAAACTGAGGGATCCCAAGTCACCATGCTTGTTTCAATACCAAATCATGGTCTAATTTTGGATGATTTGGGGCACCACCATTTGCGGAAACCTCCATATAACGGTCATCAATAGGGTCTTAACATAAGTCTTAACTATCCGGATCGTGGCGACCAACTATTGGTAGGACTAAACAACCAATGTTTGGAGAAGTTGTAAACCATTACAGCTATATGGCAGTGTGTCAAAACCCTGGTACCCCTGTAGTTCACATCAAAATAGCTGGGATTTATGGATGTTCATCGCCCTAAAAATGGTATGTATAGCTATTGAAAATGACCATTTATAGTGGATTTTCCCATTAAAAATGGTGATTTTCACTATAAATGGTATGGAAAATCCACTATAAATGGCATGGCTATTAAATTACCAAAGGGTATATCATAGCCATACCTCCCTACCTCCGCAATCTGCATCCCGCACCTCGAAGATCTCGCAGCACGGCGAGGCTGCGCTTGAAGGCTGCCAGCAGCAACGTCCAGAGGCGGCGCAAGCAGCAGGGTTTCGCCTGGCTCTCAGTGTACTGGTCGGATTTCCAGCAACTCATTTACATTGATTATGTTTATATATATATATATCATATTTAGATATATTTAGATATATTTAGATATATTTAGTATGGATTTCGGTGGATTCTGGTCATAACTGGCTCACTGCCCAAGCATTTGCAGATATTTGCTGTATGGCCGTCCCAAGACAGACCTGTTTATAGACCTGTTTATGACGTCCATGGCCAACGTCAACGCGGATGGAACATGTTCCGACAAGCCATCGTCTCCATAGTTTGACAATGTACATTGTAATTGTCCATTACAATGGGGATCTACTTCTTTGGCTGTGTCGAAACTGGGCAGTTCGCTGGCTTCAACACCACAGTGGTTCACGGCTAACGAAAGGTGATCAAACAACCGGGAACAAGCCAAGAACCAGCCACATATTTCCCCTGTCCCACTTTGCCAGAAAACAAAGACACAGTTGTTCTCATTTCTTTGGCGCGTCAAGTCCAAACAAATATCTCAAATTCAAGTGAGCCATCAAACATGTAGTATACTTCCCTATCATGACCGATCAACAATACTAACTGGTGGTTTCAACGCCCCTGAAAAATATGAGTTCGTCAGATTGGATCATCATCCCAACTATTGGGGAAAATAAAAATCATGTTCCAAACCACCAACCAGAATAGTATTTTTCATAGCGCAAGTATCCATCTAAAGCCAAGGCACCAACTCTCGAGCTCGTGTCAAAAGATGATCAATACTTGGCCTGTCCTGTGCGCAAGCTAGATCGACACGCTGAAATAGTGGTTAATTACTATCTAAACTAGGAACCTTGCTTTCTGAAATAGTGAAGAACTAATCCTACTGAAATAGTGGTGAATCACTTTACCAAGTTTCTTTTTTTGGCGATGATATAAGTATATAATGTGGTTGGTGATGTCATTCTTGCAAATATACTGCGATACATGAGACGTGTATCTCGCTGACATACAGTAACAGCTTCTTGCGTTTCACTGTTGGGACCAAACCCAACCCTAATCAATTGGTGGGCCATGGCAATTTGATCTGCGCATGATCAACGCTAAACAAAAGAAACACACGTATAGAAAAAATCACATGGGTCACTCAAGCCCGCCGCGGTGATTAGCATTCCAAACATGTTGCTAAGAATATTCGATAATTGGACATTGCTCCACATGAGGCATGCTCATATTTAGTCTTACAACATACACTTTTTGGATAAACCGTTTTGAGCCACCCCCTGTTGGCTTGTATTCCCCCCATAAGGCAGATTGTATCCCCCATACCAACCTGGTAAAAAAACGGCTTCTATCCCCATTAAGGTTGGTTATATCCTCATAATCTCAATTTAATCCCCATTTCTATATTCATCATATTTCTGGGTAAATTCATCCATAATTCACCAAGCTTGACTGGTTGGTGGTTTCAACCCCTCTGAAAAATATGAAACTCAGTTGGGATGATGAAATTCCCAATATATGGAAAGTCATAAAAAAATGTTCCAGTCACCACCAACCATCATAAAAATCATCCAAAATCATCTATAGAATCTATAATCATCTATAATCATCTATATAAAAACCAAAAATGTTGGGATATATCGGGATAATTCCAGGGCCCCTCCTGGGAGGTCTTAGAGTAATGTCGGAGCACAATGATGCCCTGCGCCAAAGGCATCATTCGCCACGCCAGTTTCCGGGGGTCCAGCGCTTCAAGTGATGAAACCAAGGTCACCAGAGCTGGTGAAGGTGAATCATAATGGGATGATATGGGATGAAAGGATATCACTGATTCAATGGATTTTTGCTGGGATATACCATGGTTCTTAGCCAACAAAAGGCCAGGCAAAAGGCCAGGCGGCCTGATGGTTCACCATGACATCTCCTCCCATCTGATGCCTCAACTGGAGACACATCGATTCATGACGACTTTTTTGGCTAACATGGACAGGGAACATCGGAACATCCAGCCAATTTTTTATACAGATCATTGGTTGATTCATATAGTGGGATTTCCAAGGGGTTGTTCGGAGACGTTTCCGGAGCTACTGTAAATCATCGTCACAAGAAAAAACACTCCGAATCTCCTCATCAAACGGTGCTGTTTGCATCAGTTCAAGGGGATTGTTGAATTTTTAGTCGGATCTGCTAGTTCTAATCTGCGCAAACGGGAATTCATGGAATTCTGAAATGATTCACATCATCAACTATGCTGCAGCTGGAAACTTGGGCATCTAGGTATCAAAGCTTGTCTTGCTACACTAAGATTAGGACGAACTTCATAGAGCATGTCAACACGTAGATAATGTTCCGAACCCATGACACGCCTCACACAAAACATATACTTTTCACTAAGTCACTAGAACATGATATACATTCATATATGTACATATATATATATAATATATATATAAATATGTATATGCTACCCCCCCCAAGACCTACATTTTTTGTATTAGGTATGTCCTTGGCTGCCTTGTCTTTCTTCTCATCTTCTCACCTATTGCAACACTGCATCAGGAAAGTAGCTTGTGCGCATGCACCTGGACACATCTCGCCCACATATGTAGCTGTAGCATAGCACATGTGAAGAAACTGACCACGTAGGTGCATGAACACTGAGAGCACCTGGGTGGGTGGGAAAGGACAAGCAATACACTAGACATTTTGTGTACCAGATATGTCCTTGGCTGCCTTGTCTTTCTTCTCAACTTCTCACCTATCGCAACACTGCATCAGGAAAGTAGCTTATGCGCATGCACCTGGACACATCTCGCCCACATATGTAGCTGTAGCATAGCACATGTGAAGAAACTGACCACGTAGGTGCATGAACACTGAGAGCACCTGGGTGGGTGGGAAAGGACAAACAAGACACGAGACATTTTGTGTACCAGATATGTCCTTGGCTGCCTTGTCTTTCTCCTTATCTTCTCACCTATTGTAACACTGCATCAGGAAAGTGGCTTGTACGCATGCACCTGGACACATCTTGCCCACATATGTAGCTGTAGCATAGCACATGTGAAGAAACTGACCACGTAGGTGCATGAACACTGAGAGCACCTGGGTGGGTGGGAAAGGACAGAGAATGTATTGCTTTGGATGCATGAGCCCATGTGTAGCATTATCATAGCGCATAACTCAATTGGACCGAGGGACAACGAGACACCAATCGAGACATATTCCATGAAGAAGACCTGGCAGAAATTGGATCAAAAAGAAGCTTTCGGCACGATTGTGAACACGGAAGACCCGAAGCAATATATTGCAATGCATTTTTCCCCAAAGCTCTACGGCTCACTTCTTGCCCATAAGGCGCTTTGCGGCCCATTGGCACAGAGATCCGGTCGCCACCCACATGTCTGCATTTTTGTACCAATACTGATACTGAGCAGATCGGAGTTTGGATCTCAGCAGGCTCGACCCGGCTTTTGTATTTTGATTAAGGCTGAGACGCTCCTTTAAGAAACGCCAGCAGCGGTCAATCACTTGGGTGCCAGCTTTCACACGGATCTTTTTATTTGTGCCTGGAAGCTTGTGTTCCACTACTTTGACATATCGTGGCGCCTGCCATTTCCATTTGCCGCGTACTTTCACGCGTTTTTTGCAATGGACTACTCGATCGTGCAACACCCCTGCAACACGGACCCTATAACTCTTGGCAGAATCCGTGTGCAACACAACCTTTCTGTTCTTCAGCCAATGGTCAGCAAGGGGACGCCACTCGACTTTGCGTACTGCACCGGGTCCCGGTGCACGTGCATCTGTACGAACAGGCTTCAGACGATGCAAGACCAACGACTCCGGCTTCCCTCGCTGAACAATACCACACCATTGTTCCCACTCAATTGGCTTCTTGGTGTTGCCCAGCTCTGACACATCAGTGATAGTCTTCTTGTCGAATGTAGTTTCGTCTGCCTCGACATCCTGCCACGCTGCTCCGTTGCCGAAGACAATCTCTTTCTCCTTCTCCTCCACATACTCCTTGCGTAGTAAAGCCAATCGCTTGTCCAAGTCCTCGATGGCCTTGTGATTCACATGCATGAGCCTGTGGATGGTGGAGTTTGGAATGTTGTTGATTTTGAGAAGTAATAGGGCAGCCTGAGTCTGCAAGGGGCTACCTGCCACACCATAACCTTCTGTAAACAGAGGGTGCAAGTGATGCGGATTGAAGTAGACCTGGCACCCCCTGGAATTGCAGCGAAGCTTAGGGGATGAGTCACCAGGCTTCTGCACCCAACCGCGTAGCTTCCCCTTCTCACACCGAGGACAAGTTTTGCCACGCCAATCAGGCAACAAGCCATCCTGCATCAACATCTGCACGATCCCCTTGTCGGTCGCATGGAGGATGTCTGGCAAGGACCTCTTCCACTTTGTCTGGTCCATGCGAAGACCCCGCGGACCAACATCCGCAGCACCCCTTGTATACGGTACATTCTGCCAAGACTTTGCCTTCGTCTTCTGAGAAGCTGGGCGTTTCAAGACCATACGAGATTTGCCCTTCTTTGGTGCCGGGAATGGATTGAATTTGGAACGCATAGCGCAATGGCCTTGAGTGATGGCTATATGGAACACAAGAGTTGAGCTGTATGCTGCAGTGCAATATGCATGAATGGATGCTCGCTTCGCTTGCAATTACTTGTGCTTCGATGGAGACAGCGGACCTTGATTGCACAACACCGACAACATAACCTTTTCGTGCGATGGCTATGTTCCTTTTTTTTCTTCTCCCCTCGGACACGACTTCGCAAGTCTATCTTGCTATTGTACGAATCTACTGCATTCGAATTATAGGCTACTTGTCTACATGCCATTCAGTCCCATGTAGTGGGCTGCCTCTTCATCAGCCTCTAAATCCATACTCTTCGGTTCCTCAGGCTCCGCTTCCATGGGATCTTGGTATGCAGCTTCTGCATCCTCAGCCAACTCCTCAATGTGCTGCGATGGTGGTGGAGAAGTCTTGGCCCGTAGTCGACGATCGGGATAGACGAAATTGCCACGGCGACGCCCCGAGGGTTGAGTGCCAATGGGAGGCACAGGGCAGACCACATCCATATTGGCTTCTGGAGTAGAAGGGCAGGATGATGGTGGCACAACATGGGCACTGCGGAAAAGAAGTTTGTCCTGAAGCTTGTGGTTCACATAAGCAACATAATCCTGCAGGTTTTCATATCCTGCAATCTTCTGAAATCCTTCCTCCAAGACTTCCTGTTCCTGGAGAATCTCTGCATCAAAGTTTGATCCAGTCTCCATCGTACCTCCCTTGTACTTTCCATACAAAGGTTTGTCCCGCTCACCTAGCAAGTCAAGATGCACGTCCTCCAGGCAAATCCGATGCACAATGGCATCTCTATGTGCACTTGGCAAACGAAGGTAGAGAGCGTGGTTGCCGAACATGAAGACAATGGAGCGTTTCAGTACTGCCAAGACATCTTTCTCTCTGTCACCGCGGAAGAATTCATCAAGCAACCTAAAGAAGTTGGCTTCAGAAATCACTGTGTCACCTGCATTGCAATCAAATCTTTCTTCTGCCAAGTCATTGGACGCATAGGCCCTCATTTGATTCCGTAACATCTTGGTATCGTTGTACCTGGACTCAACCGTTCCATCCTCATCACATGTAAGGAAACTCTTCAGGTCGGCTATGCACACCTTGCTTCGATCGGGGTCGTCTAGAAAGAGAGCCTCTTGAACCTGAGGGGCTTTGTGCCTGAAGTTGTCCAGGGATTTGGCTCGGCGCCAACCAGCCTTCAGGCCTTCACATCCAGATCGACGAACGTGGTAACGACCAAGCGCCATTGCCAGAGTGATCACAAAGGGCGTTTTCCCCACACCAGGACAACCCAGCAGCAAGAGGCCAAAGTTGATGAGCAGTGGATACAAGTATGGTAGCAAGATAGTGTGCAAGAATGGCTTCAGGCTATAGGTTGTGAGGGGAAACTCGGTCATACTCACAGCACCTCCAAGCCCCTTGCTTTTGTTTTGGAACATTTGCCGTACCTTCGCCTCCGGCCATCCTGCAATAGGTGTGCTTGAGTCAGGCTTGATGTTGAGCAGGATCCACAGTGTTTGCTCGTTGAGAGCGTCACATTCTGGGGCAAATGCATTGATATGGTAGATGCCTTCTTCCAGCTCAGACCTTGATGGTGACCAGGTAGGTTTTGAGGAATGCTCCGCCTGGGTCTTCTCTTCAAGGGCAAACCATCTAAGTTGATACCCTCCCAAATGATTGAGAAGCCACTGCACTCCCTTTTTGATGTTCCAGGGCCCCGATCTAAAGACTGGAATATAAGCTTTCCCACTGCACAAAGCTTCGGCAGCTTGAAAGGACATCGGACGTGGCAGATAGAGCACTTTGAGAACATCTACGTTTCCATTCGCCATGGTCACATGCACGAAGTCCATTTTGGTTGTACTCGGAGGAGTGCCTTTGAAACGGATGGGTTCAGGTAAATCATCCCATCGATATTGCATAGCGATCTGGCCAATGTCGACTGGTTCGCCACATGAGGGTATGTCATTGTGGAAATCAAAGAGAACTGTAATGGATTTCACACCCTTTTGCAAAGGTCTGCACGCATCAGTGGTGAATCCAATGCATGTGATGGGCTCTTCCACTTCGACAATCCCACATTTGGCTTCTTCCAAGGGTCGTAGATATAACGGTTTCTTTCCCAATGCTTGGATTGCCTTATCCATCAATGTTCCAGCCATTGCAATCAAAGGGGAGCACGGCGCGGTGCACAAGACAAGACTGGGGCGGACAGGTTTGGGCTCATGTGACACAGCAGAGAAGAAATACGAGAGTGACAAGAATCCACACATGAATTGAATGTTGAATGTCAACTGCCAGCATGTTCAAAACAATCAGACCTTCCCAAGTACTTTCGCTGCCACACGTGCATGCCAAGGACATATCTCTAAGTATGTATACATATAATGCTAAGGCTCAAGGCTCTAGTGCCAGACTGCTTTTCTTTTCAGTGTGCATCAAGCGGACACAATGAGAGATACATCTTTTTCAACCCGCATGCCCTTGTCTCAGCGACATCAATCGGATGCCATTTCATGATCAGAAGAGTCAGGAGACGAAGCTTCAGCAGCCAAAGATTCATCCATATCCATAGGGATATCCGCGGCGTTTTCCGGCTGTAGCCGGCGCCGCAAAGCGGCATTTTCCTGAGACAGCCCTGCGATGATCTCATTCTGCTCCTCAATCTGAGCGGTTGCCTTCGCAAGCTCGCAAGAGGTGTGATGCAATGCTGAGAAAATCCCCTCAAACTCCTCTTTCCATTTGATCACTTCCTTGCTTTTCTTCTCGAGTTCAGCATCTGCCTGATGTTGTGGACCTTCGGAAGATGATGAATCCGAATCGGAATCGGATGTGGAAGACGAGGATGCTGGCTTCTTCTCTTCCAAAGTGGAACTGGAGGATGATGGCTTCACATCTTCCAAGGCCAATTGCACAGTTGCAGTGCTCCTTTTCGGATTGGCCAGTAAGTTTTCTAAGCGCTGCTGGGCATCTGCACTCCATTCACCATCACCTCCCGGACGCAGGCGCAGTTGCCTTTGAATCGTGCCCATCATAGTCGTCAGGTCTCTCTTTGCAACTGGATGGCGGCTGTCATGAACCTTGACTGTTCCTGCTCCGATTTTTTCCAGGAGCTGAGATGTTGACGGTCGAGTCATGGTCACTTTGATGTCAGGCTCTGGTGTCAATGTCATGATGGCCTTGCCTTGCGACATATTCACCGTGCCGGTCACGTTGAAGAACGCCATGGCAAATAAGAGGGGAAGCGATGAAAGCTGAGAACAAGAATGGCACTGGGGCAGTGACAATGGATTGCAAGAATGGAGCAGTGACAATGGATGGCAGGAATTGTATTTATGTCTTTTCCAGCCTAAAGGAATGCATCCAGAATGCATTCTTCCCAATATCTAAGATCCAAGATCTAAGCATTGCGGAGAAGTCTTGTGCAAATCTTGGGTTTGGAATTTGCCAGAATACTCTTACCAATCCCTATGAAAATTCTTTAGGAATCCAAGATTTTGATCATGCATTCTTCCCAAGATCTAAGATCCAAGATCTAAGAATTGCGGAGAAGTCTTGTGCAAATCTTGGGTTTGGAATTTGCCAGAATACTCTTACTAGTCCCTATGAAACTTCTTTAGAAATCCAAGATTTTGATCAAAAGTCTTGTGGGAAACTTGGATCTTGGATTTTGAATCTTGCAAAGAATGCATTCAGAATGCATTCTTTCGGCAGGATTCAAGATTCAAGATTCAAGATTTCTAGGGACTCTTTGGAGCAAATCTTGAATCTTGAATCCTGAGGACTCCCAGCAAATCTTGAATCCAGGATTCAAGATTTGCCCCAAAGAGTCCCCAGAAATCTTGAATCTTGAATCTTGAATCCTGGATTCAAGATTTGTCCCCAGAAATCTTGAATCTTGAATCCTGGATTCAAGATTTGCTGGAAAGAGTCCAGAAATCTTGAATCTTGAATCCGGATTCAAGATTTTGAATCTTGAATCTTGAATCCGGATTCAAGATTTGCCCCAAAGAGTCCCCAGAAATCTTGAATCTTGAATCTTGAATCCTGGATTCAAGATTTGCTGGAAAGAGTCCTCAGGAATCTTGAATCTTGAATCTTGAATCCTGGATTCAAGATTTGCCCCAAAGAGTCCCCAGAAATCTTGAATCTTGAATCTTGAATCCGGATTCAAGATTTGCCCCAAAGAGCCCCCAGAAATCTTGAATCTTGAATCTTGAATCCGGATTCAAGATTTGCTCCAAAGAGTCCCTAGAAATCTTGAATCTTGAATCTTGAATCCAGGGGGTGGATTCAAGATTTGCTCCAAAGAGTCCTCAGAAATCTTGAATCTTGAATCTTGAATCCTGCCGAAAGAATGCATTCTGAATGCATTCTTTGCAAGATTCAAGATCCAAGATCCAAGATTCCCACAAGGGTTGGATTCAAGGCTTGAATCCTCTATGTATATATATATATGTATATATACACTATATAACATCCCCCAAATCCCGGAATCCAAAATTACATACCAAAAATAGCAAATTTTACTATAAATACCAGTACTTTTGTGAAATTGGTAGGTCTTGGGGGGGGGTACCATATATATATATATTCAAAAAATCACATGTGTAGACATTATACATCTTCCACATATACTTTACATAAACAACACATGAAACTGGACCATTTCCCCCTCGGTACCTTGCCCCAGCCGAGTCGCACATCCTGCCCCTGGGAAGGATGTAAGACGCGGCCATGCAACCTCTCGTCGCAATAAAACTTCAGGGCCTCGCCCGGAAGGTGTCTTTGCATACCTGGATTATGCTTCTGGTAGGTGGTATACCTATCCCTCTGAAACATATGAAAGTCAGTTGGGATTATTATTTCCAATATATATGGAAAAAACATGTTCCAAACCACCAACCAGGCTTTATTGTAGTGTAGATACATCGAACTGAATGGTTCAAAGGGGTGAACATGAACCAATGGTAACAACTGGGGGGCCTCACCTTGTGCCAGGCTTAGCAGTCTAGCATCCACTATGCATCCCCAATTTCACCAGAAATGCGTGGTGGAACCCCTCCAACATTTGAGTTTTACTGAGGTGTATGGCATTGGCTTTCTTACATTAGGAAACATGAACAAAAGCTAGGAGTTTCATCTCCCTTCTGGCTGTGAAACTTGGGGGTGAAGGAGTCAGTTGAAAAAATGGCTTGGTGTTGTGAGACATTCGCTGAAAAATGGCATAGATTGGTCCCTTGCATTAAAGGAATATGTCTTTTTTGCCCTTGGCAAGGAATGTTCTTTGGGGGGATTAATTGGAATGATCCTGCACGTATTCCTTAACTCTAGTGATTGTTGACAAATCTCCCTATTTTGGTTGGTTGATGTTGGTTTGTATCATGTTCATATCCCTTTCATATCCCTTTCATCCTCCCATTGTACTAGTTCCCTGCGCTGAAATCGCAAAAAAACACAGAATTGATCGGATTCATCTGTCCAAATACTGTCCAAGTATTGGGTTCCTAAGCACATGGGGCAACCAACAAATTTTGATGATAATTTTCCATGTCACAATTGCAATTTTTGGTGGCATTCCTAATTTTCAGTTCAGAGACACGCAAGCTACCCAACCAAAGTTTACCCAGTAGACCCCTTTCCACTGGACAGCCTCAGGTGACCAAACGCCCTGGAAGGACTTGGGGAAGCCCCAGGACCTTGCGGGGGTACAGTTCCTCTGAACTAGGTGGATATATGCATATCTATCTATCTATCTAATCTAATCCTATCCTATCCTATCTATCTATCTATCTACACATATCTATATATTTATGTGTATATATGTATATCTATATATATATATGTACTATATATATATATTATAAATAATAGACATATACACATAACCATAGGATACCATAGGGACCCCATCTCCCAACTTCCAAGGGGGGGTTATTTTTCACCATGCTTATGCCCGGGTTTGGAGATCCACCAAATTGGCACGTGAAAAATGGGGAAAGTGATGATTGACCCATCAGATATGGAATAAATATGGGGGATTGTAGGGGTACCATATTTTCAATCAAACTCCGACAGGAGTCACTACTTTGCAGAAAACACCCTTGGGATTCCCAGAAAACGAATGACTCAAAAAGTTCACCATCCTGGAATGAAACAAACTTACGCTTCAGTCAAATAGTCAACCGATTTCCCAACTTCAAAATCCCAACGGGAACATCATCCATCGATACTAAAATCGGGGTTCCATTGCCAGCTTCGACTGCAGTGAATCTTTAGCAACTGAGGTATATCACGGTACGCGCATTAGGTCCCACAAAAATTCAGGGTAAGACCTCCACTGATCGCTGCCATCCCGGCAATTTTTCATGGTGAAACCCCAATTTACTGCTGAAATCCAATTCAAATGATGGTAGAATTCCCCAAATGTTTCAGGTCAACTCCCTTTTTTGTTTTGATGCTAAATCCATCAGGTCGCCCATTTCTCCGGGGGGCTGATAGGCAGCCCCAGCTTGTCCCTTCTCTGAAGGGTCTATGAGGTGCACGAAGGGCGAACCCACTTCCTGCTGAGAACATGAAACATGCCGGATTTCATGAGAATCTGGCCAGTCAAAAGGGGATAATCATGAATAATCCTATTCTTGATGATTTTCAATTTCACCCAAGTATTGGGAAAGTTCTTCTGAATAGATCCAATACAAAAACCCACTGTGTCATGGATTTTCCTGTCAACCATGTGGGTGTAAGGCATGGGTTTCAATATGTTTCAATACAAACAGAGTCCAATTTGGGATATGGGGGTACGGTACTTACCCACATTTATAAACATCATTCACCAATCTGAACCCTTGGTGATTTTGGGGTGGTTCACAATCATTTTAGGTGATCTTGTATTGAACCCGCTTATAATTCAACCAAATGTATGTTCTGAGAGGGGCTTGGAAGATGATTGTCATCCTCGGAATGGCCATCTTTTGCCAAACAGCTGACTTATGATTCTTGTTTCTCATCACATCATCTCCACGCTGGCCCCTGGAAGAAGATTTCCATTTCATAAACTCAGTCGCATCCATGGCTTCAGGTCAGCATAGAAACATGTGTGCGTATTTCCCACCATCAATGAACTATGTGCATATTCTTTCCATTAGTGGGAACAGTATGACTGTATGAATATTTCCCACCAGACTGGTATATATATATATATAAAAAAACAATATATATATATATGTATACATATACATGTAGCTGTAGTTTGACACACCCGTTATTGATTAATGGACATTTGATCATTATTACTTCCATAGTGGGTAAGACATTTCCCATCAGTACCCTCCGGCAATCAAGAATGGCTGGACAATCCCGCAGCAATAGTCTGAGGATCGGGGATTTCCAATTGCTACATTTCATTGATGAAGGGTATGCTGCTCATTTCCAATAATGGTTGGTCATAGATCTGGGTAAATTATAATATTTCACTAACCTGAATTCAGGCCATTTGGGCATGATTTCCAATACTAACCATGATTCCAGTGAGGTCGCAGTGAGGTCATTAACATTTACCCAGAATAATGGTTGGTCATAGATCATATGGTTACTATTATACTCCCATTGAATCCTATTGAATTGCATTAAATCCCATGAACTTCCTTTAAGTCTCGCAGGCTCTCCAGGTCTCCATCACCAGCTACCGCTTACTTACCACACCTCATCCCACCTTTGAGCTGTCCTTAGGGCAGTTGGGTGACTGTGGTTGACACCGTGGAGGATTCAACCAACCAGGGAGAGCCAACCGCGACTAACAACAAACATGTGGGCCACGGTCAATATTTGGTAAAAAAACCTCCAAGTCATCAATTTTTTGAAAAGTTTTCATATCGTTTTCCAAGCCCCAGCTCAATTTCAAAAAAATAAAGATGTCTCGAATACCACTCTCCATTAACCTAAATTTTGGCTGTAGCTCATGTGGATTCTGCACAACTGAATCATGACCAACTGGGAGCTCTGGGTTCTTCTGCATCTTCCTGACGATTTTTTTCTGCGATCATCACGCAGTCTCCAGTTTTCAGGGATCCTACCGAACGTCTCGCAGGGCTGTACCAGCAAGTGGCAGTTTCAATCGGGAGAGTGATGGATTTCAAGAGCTTTCCACAGATTTTCCGGTACCAAAACCAGACGACAAACTTCGAGGTTTTGGAACACTGAGGATCATAATCCCAGAGAAAAAACAATAAACCATATATACAATTACCATCAATTAGCAACCAGATACATTGAGGGCAGTGTTTCTCTGGTGCTTGAAACACCCATTCCAACAATATGAAAGTGATCATCATCCAATCTTGAGGAATGGAACGCGAAAAAATCCTCTGAAACTACGATCTCCAACCGAGAGTAGCTTCGACGCGACCCGTTCCAATGATGAGCGGATCAAAACCTTGATAGTATTCTGTTCACAGCAAGATGGGATCTGTGGATAGTCCCCTCAAACCGCTATTTTTTGAATATGGGGGTGGGTCAAAACCTATTATTATCAATTCTAATGGGATGAACATCCATTTACCAGCTATTTTGGGGTTCACTAGGTGCCAGGGTTTTGACCCATAGCCATATAGTTCCTAGCTTTTGATCCATCCCCAGCAATATCCAACACTTCACCTCGTCACGATTCGTCACGTCGCCAAGGTTCTGTAAATCTGGACAGAAGCTCACCTTGGACACCAAAGAATTGGGTAACGCCTGAGGATTTGGGGTCAGAGATTGGGGAGATCTCAGAGTTTGGTCCCCAGACTTTGAGTGGTACCAGTAGTCTGTCATCCCATGGCAGGGTCTATATTCTTGGGATGGTCATCAACATAAACATGGTACAAAATCAACCATTTCACGGGCAGGGTTGACCCAGAGCCATAATATTCATATTCCTGTCGGTCGGTCATGTTCTGACAAGCCCATCTTGACACAACCTCTCATCGCAGGGCCATCATCATTTTTTAGCAAAAAACTGGGTTTGTTTATCCTGCAAACCACTAGCCACTCGCCAAAAGTTGACCCAAATCACCAATCCCAGGCTCTATCATCACACGAATTCCCAAGCTTTCCAGCTCATCAGCATGAGCCGCAAGTGCGGCCACATGCTGTCGTCCTGGGCACGGCGGCTTGAAATCACCACCCAAACAAGGAGTTGACCTGTTTTACAGCTTAGCACTCGAAGAAGAAACAGAAGAAGAAGAAGAAGAAGAAGAAGAAGAAGAAGAAGAACAACAACGACAACGAGGGTCCATTTCAGATCCCTGAACGGGCGGTACCTTTTGGATGCAAGACCTATGAAGACCCCTCCAGCAACACTGTTCCACATAAATGAATGTTTCAGACATGTTCATGCAAGCAGGTCAAATAGTCAAATTATGTCAAATTGCAACATTTCCTACCGAAGTCCCATGTTTGTTGCTCTATCAGGCTAGGTTGATCCTCATTTTCCCTGCTTCGCAGTCCCAAATGGTTGCAGCCTTCCCAGTCCCCGCGGGCTAGTTCCAGGGCACAGGGCAGTCAGCCAAAGTGCCGGAGCCAAACTAGCAAGACTCCTAGCCGAGGCTTTGCTGAGCCACCTCCCATTGGGAACATGACAGTTGAAACCACCCAACCAGCGATTTGCAATGGTTTTTTCAGAGAAAATCTGCAGGAAAGCATCTGGTTTTCTGAGGAACATATCTTTTAGACTTCCCTGATCTTGCATTCAACCAATTCTGGTCATCGACGAAGCTGCGAAAACCCCACCCCCCAGGCAGCGCGCCATTGCATTCGGCACAGATCTTCTGCAGATTGATCCATTTTCCTGGCCGAACTTTTTCTGAAGCACAAAACATCATAAGATATGGCTTAGCTAACTGGTTTGCGTTTCTGGATTGACCTCCAACAACAAGCGGCGTTTGACTTTTCTGAAAATCATATCTTCCCACAATCTTTTTTTTGTTGGGGATCTTCTCCGTTACCAAAAAAGTCCCCAAAATTCTCTGTGCAGACCATGCTTTTTTTGAGGGCGGACCTGCAATTTATAGTTGTCTAAATCACTACGACAAATTGGTACCACCCCTAAAATCAACGGATGCTTTTGCACATTCCTCCATTACAGTAGATATAAGTTATATCCCATATTTTCAGCCCTTTCACATCCAATCACTAATTTTTCAAAAATGGGTTTACACATGTGTTAACATAGGGTTAACCATAACCAGTCATTCAATTTTTACATCCAGTCATTAAATGATTAAATCCAGTCACCCAATAAAACTAATTCCAGTCATTCGACTTTCAAATTCACTCATGATCAATATATATATATATATTAAAAAAATACATATATATATATATTATATTATATATATAATACAGAAATATTAACATATTAGGCTTCACCATCCTCATCCCATCACCCCATCATCACCATCATCCCACACCTTCTCGCGGTGCCCAGAGTTCCAGCGCGGGCGCCGCGGCGCCCTGCCATGTCGTCGTCGGCGTTGCGGCGGCGTCGGAGGAGGACAGCAGCTGGCGCCAGCGCTGCTCGGATGCGTGGAGGCGGCAACGTGCGGCCTGTCATGGCATGTCATGGGAGGTCATGGTTGTCTGGGGTAAAACAACTTGGGAATCTAACTATAGTACCCTCTGGTAAATTAACAGTTCGACCCTGGCAGATAGGCAGTCATCGGGCTTGGAAGACTAGTTTCCATTAAAAATGGGTGATTTTATGTGATTTTCAGGGTCCAACAAGTTAATTTACCAGAGGGTAAAAGTTAAATTAAAAACAACATAAAACAACCATATTTCTCCCATGATTCCAGTCTTTGGGATAAAACAACTGGGCTTATGGGAGACAGTTGGTGAGTAATGCTGGGATATGCTGGGATGATTTAGTGATTGGAATGATCCACAACTAAGGCCAAAAGCTGGCCATTTCAGCAAGAACTTTGGGATGATGTAAATTGGCGGGTTTGAATGGCGTTTCATGGCGTGATCACTCATATCAACACACTACAACTTAGAGTGTTGGGAGGTTGATGGAGATGCTACAGCTGAAATCTTCACCAACGATGGGGATGTTTATCAGCACATTTCATAAGCCAGGATGAGTCCATATATTCACCAACCAAAATTATTGGATGAAGCTGCTTGGTATTTTCGGAAGATGTACTTGGCTATGGACTAGCCAAGAAAAAGGAGACTTCCACCACAAGAATCAGCTTAAAGATGGAAAATTAGGATTTCAAGCCATTTTCCAAAATGGAAACTCATCAGACAACTGACATCTGGGGCTTGCCCCAATCATCGCAGTTGGATTTTTGAGATGACAAGCTCCAGAATTTTTGGCAGAAAAAAGTTGGTCACCTTTCTGGTTTCGAACCAAAGAATGAACCAGAGTCTGCGGCAGATTGGCAGTATCATCCCGGATGTCGGGATGAATTAACATGAATTAACTCCCTGGTAGAATTGCTTGTACAATTTTAGATCATTTAGCTAGTGTCAGGGAATATCAAAGATGGACTGTGGGTATTTACAACTTATGTTCTAAAGTTTCTCTTTCGATATTCAACAGTGGGTTGTGGATTGTTACAGACTCTTTAGAACATTGAGTCGCGCAGCTACTGGAGGTCTTGAACCATGGGATTCTGCAGTTCCAAAACTTGATCGAACATACTCACCATCGTTTTTTAGTCGTTTTTCAGGGTTATATGGGGATGGGTCAAAACCCTGGTACCTAGTGAACCCCAAAATAGCTGGTAAATGGATGTTCATCCCATTAAAAATGATATTAATAGGTATTGATCCATACCCATATCCCAACTTCTGGGGGTTGACCGACACCGGATGCTGATTGTGCGCAGCCAACTGTTGACTAGCGATGAGATGGGGATGATTTCGTGCTGGGAAAGGTGGGATTGGAAGAGCATCAGTCCCACATCAAGTCATGACGAGAAATAACTACAGTAATACAACAATAGTAAGAATAAAAATGATGATGATGATAATAATAATAATGAGCTATTGAATTCTGACATATCATGACAAGTTGCAAATCCAAGGTACTGAACATATTCATAGATGGAAGACTCTTGATGCATTGATCATCATTGATCTATTTGCTTTTTTGTACGAGCCAAAACAAACAGTGGGGAGCTTCTGCCACGCTACTGCCAGCTCTTCTGATGTCAAGGATTTCCTGGGAAATCAGGGAGTCCAGGGCTGGATGGTTGTTGTGAGTGGAAATCAGGATGGGGTCCCTGCTTCAACACAGCTGACGCGAGATTCACGTGCGAGTCAATTCAAATGTTGAAAAAACATCGACAAAGACACAGCTGAATTCGGCCATTTTTGGAAGATAACTACCCCTGCAGTAAACTAAGAGTTTGCTATGGAAAATTGCCCAAAATTGCCCATTTGCTTCGATGATTTACTTATTAAACATGGTAATTTCCATGACCCTGCTAGTTGATCAGAGAGTATGAACTAGCTTCCTCGTTCCATGCCAGCTACGTGGGTGATTTGACCAAGGAGAGCACCAATCTACTGGATATTTAGGGGTTAGCTACAACGCATACCCTCTGGTAAACGTTTACATAGCGAACTGGAAAACCACTCTTTTTAATGGGTAAATCCACTATTTCTATGGCCATTTTCAATAGTTATGTAACAAATTACCAGAGGGTAAATGTGTTCCATTTAGTCATTTTCAGCTCTCTCCTGGCGTATGCTGAGAAGTAGGGCTGCAAAAAAAAGCCGCTGGGCCATGCGGGAAATGTCATGCTGTAAACCCAATCATGAACCATCCCCTGAACAAACATGGCTGGTATAAACCAAAAGTCTATGGGTCATTGGGTTTTCCTCAAAAAAAGATACGTGAAAAAAATCCTCATGATTGAATGGGCATCTTTTTACATGCAAGAGCAAAATAGGCCTCCAACCATCCATTGGTTATTTCCAAGTGCTAGTCCTGGTGCCTTCTGGAAACCCTTGAGTAGCCGTGAAGCACCAAACTCTTTTTCTGTCGACTCGAATTAAACATCCAAAACTTCAGGAGTTAGACTTTAGATTCATTACTTTGCAATCGTACTTGGTAGCTGCCCCAAATCAGAGACCTTCACCTGCTTACCTTCGTCCATATCCCTGGTTCTGCAGATCCATTCAGTTTGAAAACACACTGCGGATCACATTTTGAGGATAATTGAGCCATTGAGAATGCCCCTATCCCATCCCATTATATATGAGTTGGTTGATAGCTTTCCCTACTCTAGGTTCTCATAATCTCCAATAGGTCCCCATATTAACCAATCAACCAGCGTATGTTTATTGGCTCAATTCATGCTATTTCTATCTACAGGTCCCCCAGAAAACTATGGGCCGCCTGGCTCACCCGTCCATTCTGAGCATCATGGAGGTTTCGAAGTCCTCAAAATCCGTGAAGCTGTGGTCTTTCAAAGCTGTGACGAAACATTGAATCAACGCCCCCAGACGTGGCACGTCTCCTGGACCCTGGCCGAGCGCTTGTTTTAGGCAGCTGGGGTGTTTTGGGTGGATTTTCCCATAAAGCATCTCTACAGGGCATCACAGCATCATCCTAGAGGCTGGCCCAAAACGAGGGACAGGGAACCCCTCGGGCGATCAAAAGCCTTGCGAACATGAGAATTGCTGGTAAGTGGATGTCAATTCCCCTATGGTCGTAATGGGTTTTGATGGGTTTTGACCCATACCCACATTTCCCAAAATATGGCCAAATTAAAACCATCAGCGGCAAAAGTGGCAGAGTACCCTGCTCTTTTCCGGTCTTTTGCTCCGGTTCTTGTCAATCTTTTTCGAATCGATTTCTGGTCAGCGGTTTCAATCCCAACATCTGCGCAGATGGGAATGGGAAAAAACGAAACATCTCTGTTGTCAGACTTCAGGACCATATTCCATCATCCACGTTAACGTCATTTTTTCACATCATATCTTATTCTTATGTTTTTTCACCCATAAACTTGGAGTCTCCTGGTTTTGAGCAATTGAAACCGCTGTTGAAGGATTCAGTCATGCATCGTGGGCATTTCAGGGCAAAAAACAGGCCAGACCTCACCGAAAACAGGTGAATCCTCGTGGCTGAGCTTAGATGATATATCTGGCAAGATGATTGTGTTAGATTTAACCAAACAATACATGATAATACATGATAATACAACCTTACATAGCTGATATTAGATGATTGTATTGGATTCTCTGGTCAAAGTATGCAATTATATTGTAATAATCACGATTCACTCACCAAGTCCGGCTATCTTGGGAGAGTTATCCCTTTACCCCAACGCCCAAAAAGTGGTTGAACAGGGTGACACCCGATTTTTGTTTGGTGACTTTATAAGATTATCATGGGATGATGGGATTGTTATATACCAAACAATAAAGAAGGGATTGCGATGTCAATCATATTATGAGTATGTACCAGCTGTTGTCATTACCAACCGTCACGGGACTATGTGTGTATACCCCATCCGCAAATAAGAACATATAAGGAAAAGGTGAAAAGGCTATGAATCTTCCCCCATCACTTCTTTGGGAAAACAAAGAGCTCTGCATTTCAGCATTTTTCTCTGCGATTTTTCTTTCATGGTTCAGTGGGTCTTGTCTCTGAGATTTTTTGTGCCCAGCCCACCACTTGGGGTGCAGTCCCAGTTATGGATTTCTTCGGATGGTCAATACGGATGGTATCTTTGTCGTCGTCTTTCTGGTCATCCATCCCACAGGAATTGTCAGTTTGCTGGGTGTCATCCATTCCTGAAAATGGATTGATGACCATCTACCAATATTAGGGCAATTTACTAACGAGCTTTGACCATGGCATCATGGCATCATGGCACATGGAACACCATACTTGTCGGAGTTCCCAATGGACAGTACCATGGCACCCATAACTCCAACTGCACTCCATAACTCCAACAGGAACGATCAATTGCTGCCATTTCGGCTGGCGGAACGCTGGTCCATCAGATTTTGAGACGAGTCAATTTCGAACGTTTCGAAGCTCTTTGCGTTCAACCCCCATGGTGCCCAGTCCATCCCCGACAATCCCACGGACCAGCTTTCCATCCCTTCGTTCGCGACACACGTCGGATTGCCGGACAGGACCCAGTGAAAAATCAATGATCAACCCGATACTTGGCTGGTGGAAAGTAGGATCAATATGGATCAACGCATAGAAGGATAGGATAGTAAGATGGTGTAAGTTGTTCGATACACAAATCGCCGGTAAATATACCAGTGAAACATTTGTTGACATCCAACTCAGCAAGCATTCGCTACTTTCCAGGCTATCCACAGAGGTCCGTAAGTTGCACAACTGCAGGACATCTGCATCCATAAAAAAAGGGCTGCGAACAATCTTGGCATCCAACGCCCTTGATTTGCCCGGTGAATTTTTTTCAGAGTACCCAAGATCCAAGATCAGATTCGTCAATGGTTTTATACCCCCCGGTGATGTTTTTTCAGTCGTTGTCTTCAACGCGCCGCTACTCGTATCACCTTTCCTTCACCCTTCGGGAGTTCTCCCCCCAAAAAAACAGAAGGATTTAGCAAGAGTTGGAGAGACACTCCAGCCTTACCTTAAATGAGAGTCGTTGGGGGTGGGTCGACCCATGAACATCCCCCTTTTTTTCAGGATCAACACCCATGGGACCCAACTCCTATTTGGCTTTGTCAATGGGGTCTACCACCCTACAAGTAGGCCATTGAAAAACATTGGGGCAATTATGATAAACCATAGGAACTGGGGTACCCTATTTTCAGACACACTCTGGTTTTGATATTTCTTCTATTGCAATGGGAGACTCACTCATGTTTGTAGACGACACTCCAGGAACTTACCATGGCCATTGAACTTCACTCATAGGTAAATCATTCGATCTTGGAGAAGAAATCTCTATTCAATAGTTATAATCGGTTATAAAAAAAACACAAATCAATTCCATACGAATTTCCATATAAAATCACCCATAGATCCTTATAAATGAGACATGTTCCATAGCTATCCAATTACCTAAGGGTTAATCCCCTCGATGACCTCCATCTTGGCGAAAGCCATGGGTCTGTCCAGCGCTCGTGTCAGCCACAGCGGCACGGCGTTGTCCGCCTGAAGTTTTGCGGCACATTCTGCCGACGCACAGGTCGCATGGTGTCAATGGTTGACCGGAGTTCTGGCCGGCGCTTTCGTTCGTTTTCCAGCTTCAAAGTCGGAGATGTCGGAGATTGGGCTGTTCCAAGGTGCATTCCAACAGGACTTAGATCCTTGGGGAAGAAACTGCAAGGTGGTGCCCCCCCAGTTATAACTTGGTGTATAACCACCATGAACTAGTTCGATATATCTACCATAACTCCAGTTATTGGAGTTATAAACCAACTTTGCTAACGAACTGGGGCACCACCGCGGCACCACCTTGTATTCTAACTAGTTAGAGACGAACAACTCAGAAACTCGGCGTTAGCCTGTTGAGATTTTGTCGCTTTTGATGGTCGCAGAGGTCAGCCGAGGATTGAAATGATGATGTTCCGTGGACTCTATATGTTTCAGCCCAGAGTCAAATGAACAACAAACAAACGTCATTCCTTCTCGATTCAACCCAGGAAGAACTGTTTGGGATAAGAATTCACAATCGCCTTGCGATGGAATGGGATGTTGGATGAGATTAATAAACAACATCCAGCGAGATATTGCTCATGTGGGTCTGTACTACCCCAATTTCATCCAATTTCTATATGGCAGTGCTCCAAATTGACGGACAACTAATATAATATTAACAGAATGCACACATGACCAAACTCAAACGTGCAAATGTGACACGGAAGATTCAGCCAGAAAAGTGGGGAGCCGGTAATCCTGGTTGATGGTCGTTTTTCACCCCTTGATTCTTGATACCTTGATAATGCCTTATTTGTTGGGTTACCTTTAGAAATGTAGCCTTGGAGCTCCATGAACCAATGGCTTTCCGGATTTCACCTTGGACATTTCGCCGCTGTGAGCTCTTTCCGAATCGACCACTGACACGGCCATTCTCTGGCCCGATAGCACTGGCATAGCACTGGCTATGTGTGGTCAATGACCAAACAGCCCATTCCAGGGCACAAGCACCGCAAAACGCGATTTCACCAACAAAATTAGGGGGTCAAAAATCATTTAAAAGCAACCGCATTTGGAACATCATGGGATATGTATTAATGTATTAATGTATGTATGTATGTATGTCTGTATGTCTGTATGTCTGTATGTCTGTATGTCTGTGTGTCTGTATGTCTGTATGTCTGTTTGTCTGTTTGTCTGTTTGTCTGTATGTTTGTCTGCCTGTCTGCCAGTCTGCCAGTCTGTATGTCTGTATGTCTGTCTGTCTGTCTGCCTGTATGTATGTCTGTCTGTATGTCTGTCTGTCTGTCTGTATATTCATATTTAGAGGTATGTATATTTATATGTAAGTATATATATATATTATATACATTTCATATCTATTATACGTATACATGTATTCAAATATCATATACATATATTCAAATATTATATATACATATATATTGAGAAAATACATGCATACATATACATATATATATACATAGATACATATACATACATTGCATTACATTACATTGCAATACAATACATTATAATTATAATACAATTACATATATAAATCGAATATGCATATATGACACACACACAAACACCATCAACATCTGGCTAAAGCTCATCGCTCATCCCAATGGCCCACCGAAAAATGGCTTCAATAGTCTGATCCCGAAATCCCAACGATGGGGGTTTTATAAAATGTTAAAATGTGGGATTCCCAAGAAACCACTAAAAACCCATAGGTTTCAATACTAAGTCATGGTCTAATGACTTGGATGATTTCGATGATTTTCGGAAACCTCAATTTTTTTGGTAAGACATATTCACAGCAATCATCAATCATTTCTGTGCCCAGACCATGCTGTGTAGGTGTGAGGATAGATATATATATATATATAATTATATATATATATAGTGCATGATGTAAATGGATGTTAAATGGCCGATCCATGATATATGATACACGCATACCATATGCATTATTATCGTGAACATTCTTCCAACCCAACAAATGAACTGGTTGGAATACGATGTGAACTACGAAAGATGAATGCTCTCATTGTATAATCCCTCAGATGAAACAGATCCATCATCGACACCCTTCCGTGCTAGTTGTTATTCAGGTTTTTAAACCAGTTACTTTCTCCTTGGGATGATCCTCCAGGTATTTTAAAAGATCATTTCCGGTATCGGCAATGAAACCAGTTTCCACAAATCGTTCGTTTTTTTGCAGGGCACCCCAGTGCATCTCATGGAAAAGTGGTGGTTAAGTCCCCCCGTTTTCAGCCCATTCTGAGTTGTTTTTTGCCAAAAATAAAACCAGCAAGCAATATCATCCAGTATCCCATGATGTCGTTATTCAACATCTCCACTATATCCTGATTATGGCAACCCCAAGTCATAAGTAGAAAAAAATAACTTCCCGGAAATATCTGGCAAAAATCATCGAAATCATCTTCAACAAACGCTCTTCAGCATCGTTTTGGGGATTTTCCAAACATGGAGGTGTCCTAAAATAGAGCGACCCCCAGTTCTCACCCATTGATGGATTTTTCCATGGTAATAAACCATCCAGCTTGGGCGTACCTATTTCTTGGTTCCTCTGCGGCGATGCTCGCTCCGGATGCAGCTGCCAAGCGCAACGATGACACGTCCTTCTTCGATCCCGGAGGTGCTTCTGGGGAAGTTTAATGACGGCAATGTACTAATAGTTCCTAGTAGTATTGAATAATAATATTCTAAAGGTTAATAATATGTTAACATGCTATTGACGCATGATAATATGTCATAGTACCGCACGAGGCGGTGGCGGAAGTTTCAAAGATAGGAAACCTATTGATTCATGGCAGAGCGAACCGATGGACCGAAAGGTGGTTGAGGCTCTGAGTGGCTCTCTCTCTCTCACTTTCTCTGTCTCCTTCTCGTCTCTTCCATCTCTCTCTATCTTTCTCTATCTGTCTGCTTTTCCATCTGTTGAGCTATCTCTCTGACGATCTGTCTCCATCTCTTTCTATGTATCTCTCTATCTCTCTTTTCCTCTATCTATCTCATCTATGTAGCTATCATTCCACCTAACTGACCATCTATCCATCCATCTATTTGTCTATCTATCTGCTCTCGCTATCTACCTATCTATCTACCTATCTATCTACCTATCTATCTACCTATCCATCCATCCATCCATCCATCTAGCCTTCTATCTCTCTGTCTATCTATCTATCTATCTGTCTGTCTGTCTATCTATCTGTCTGTCTGTCTGCCTGTCTGTCTCTGATTAGCTGTCTATTTGTCTGTCTGCCTATCTGTCTATCTATCTATCTATCTGTCTATCTATCTATCTATCTGCCTATCTATCTATCTATCGATCGATCGATCGATCGATCTACCTATCTACCTATCTACCTATCTACCTATCTACCTATCTACCTATCTACCTACCTACCTACCTACCTACCTATCTATCTATCTATCTATCTAATCTATCTATCTTCTATCTTCCTATCCATCCATCCATCTATCTCTCTCTCACTATCTAGCTAATTCTTTATTCATGTTTCTGTCAAGCTCTCCCTTTCTTTGTATCTCTTTTTCTCTGCCTCTCCACCTCTCTCTATCTCTCTAGCTATCTCTCTGTCTGTCTATCTATCTACCTCCATCTCTCTCCATCTCTCTCCATCTCTCTCCATCTCTCTCTATACCAATCTCTATCTCTATCTCTGTCTCTATCTCCTTCTCTATCTATCCATCTATCCATCCATCCATCCATCGATCCATCGACCCATCGATCCATCGATCCATCCATCCATCTCTCCATCTATCTCGCCATCTATCTCGCCATCTATCCATCTGAAACGAAGCAATTATGCGAGACTTCCTTCCAAATGCGAAAACGTAGCAAGCCTGCAAGACCTCCTCAAAAAATGGAAGTCAACTCCAAGACGACGAAATCCTGCAAGACTTCCTCAATTTTTGAATTTGACAACGTCAAATGCGAAGCAATTCTGCTAGACTTCCTTCAAAAGTTGAGTGCAGAGCTGACGGCCTCGTACCAATGTACGTCGCAATTTTTCCACCCCATCTGTCTAAACTACCTTACCTGCACCCCCCAAAAAAGTGACGCCGGGTCATACGAAGTGCTGCGCCTGTCACGCAAAATCATTTTAGCAAACCGGTCTGAGCGTGTGGTGCTTTACATTTTGACTTCGAGATGTGCTTCGCGCCACAACGACGTACGCTTTTTCAACAAGTCAACTTGCAAAAGTGCTCCGGACCTGAAATGTTTTTCACATTCTGACTTTGAAATGTGTTTCGCGCCAAAAAGCCGGGTGCACTTTTTCGACACCTCAACTTCCAAAAGTGCTCAGAGCATGAGGTGCCTCTACCATTTTCACTTCGAGCTGTGCTTTCGCGCCACAGACGCGTGCAATTTTTGATCTCGTCGGACCAAATGGCTCCGCACCCGCCGCTTTACAGCGAGCCTACTTTTCGACCCTTCGGAACCACGTAAAATTGGAAAAAGACAGCGTTTCGTTACTTTTCTACCTTTTCGCCCACCCTGATCTTCTTTCTACTGACTCGTTCTTCTCTGACTTTTCCCATCTCTGATATTCTTTCTGCTTACTCTCTCTTCTCCGACTCTTTCTCTTCTCTGACTGTTCTCACACCTGTTGCTGCATCTGTCCATAAGTTGGAAGTTTGACTTCTAAACTTCCTTCGGTTATTGGCTATAGGTTCTTGTTTGGAGAATCATACCACTTATATAAGCGGCTAGTAACCACATAATTCATATAATCCATGGCAAAAAACTCAGATCTAACCAGGATTTAAGGGTGGAACGTAGTGGATCGAATATTGTGGGGATGAATTACTTGGTTGATTCGGGATTGGTGGGATATGATGGGGATGTTTTTTTTTCCGGATATCATGTGGAAAAGGCATTTGGCTGAAACTCCCCTCGGATTCCGCGGTTTGCTCTTTGGGGTTGGTGCCATTTGCCTGAGTGGGTTTTTTCGTTGTCGTTACGACCCACGGGCAATACAATTTGGTGATATTTTGCGTTTGCCTAGAGTCCCAGCTCTTATTTCCTGGGTACGTTTGCTGCCATTGACTTGGCCAACCGTAAATTTTTGCACTGTTTTCAGAGTCCCAGCTCTTACATCCTGGGTGTGTTTGCTGCCATTAACTTGGCCAACCACAAATTCTATTTGGACTTGGTGTGGACTGCCTGGTATTCTTTCGGCCGTGCCGATTGCCTCCATTCCCATCTATTCCAACGCTTCTGCAGGTGAGCGAATCACCTGGGTTCACTCAGGATCTGTATTACTGCTGGCTGGTTCTCACTGCTGCGGATTTACATTTTCTGGACAGGATTTCGTTTATGTGCAGCTTTTTGCTGATCTTTTTGATTGTGATCGTACTTTTCACAGCATTTCACGATTTCGCCCAACAGGAACACTTATCGCCGCAGAGTGCGGAGAGACCGAGCGAAAGCTCGACGATTTTGGTTCCTACACAAAAAAGGCCACATTGCACTCAATCGGGGTGCTTTACAGAGAATCAAGAAAGTGTTGAACCGACACCACAGCCGAGATCAGAATTTCATCGACCGCATTCAGGTAGCAATGGATCTGGCACAAGAGGATTCAGAGTACTACCCATGGCGCTGCCCATGTGGGCGTCTGAACAAAAAGTTTGCGGAGACATGTGTGATTTGTTATGCACCGTGGCATGCAGGCACGAGACACAGAACGCAACCGAAAGCCTACAACTGGTCGAACGCTGCCCCAGATTGGGAAGACTGGGACGACGCGTCAAGTTGGGCATCCAGTCGTTCTGGGAGTCGAGCATCTTCCAAATACAGGCAGGATGCAGTGGCCGACAATGCCTATGCAAAGGTCAGGGAAAAGGCCGTGGGAAAGGAAAGAAAGGTACCAAGAAGGGTCAAGCACAAAACCAAGGGG